GATCACGCAGCGGCTGTCCCAGCACTGTCTCCAGTTCGGATTCGGCCCCGCAGCCACTGCAACAACCAACAACACCAATGCCGCCCTATTCAGTGTACGCCCAGCCGACATCGGGCCAACCTTTTAGCAGCCGTTTTACGCCTCTGGCAAAGACTCTGGAGGCAGACATACCCAAAAGTCCCATGCAGCGTATGGACGCGACTGACTTCGGCTCAACCTCAACAACATCTGCAGCAACCGAAACTCAGCGCAGTGATCGTGACTCTAACGGCCGGGACTACACCCCACCGAGGCACACGGAGTCACAGCAGGCGTCTCAACAGCGCCAGTTCTGCAAGATGCCCTCTGTTGGCTTGTTGCAACAAAAACTACCAGAAGGCCGAATCCCAGTGATCAGTCCGTTTGAACCAAAAAGCATGTTACAGAGCAGTCTTGCCCAGGTTGGTGGCCAGCTGTCTGAGATGGGCAGATCAGAGGGAATAGACAGAAGCGTCACGGGAGCTGGCATTTCAGGAGGAGCCTTTGATGCGATAGCCTCCAGATTCCAAATGCCCGGTTACCAATCAACCCCGGGAAGTCATGCTTATTCTCCCAATCCACAGGCTTGCATTATGAACAAATTTTCACCCTCTTAAGAGGTCAAAAGTGAGCACGATTACTGTGACAGGCTCCGCTGGCCCTGAAACTCCTTGGCTTTGATTTCCCCCTCCCCCCCGTCCGCACTCCAGAAGCTTGCGTTACCTGTTCACGGGTTTGATCAGGAAGAAGGAGAAGTTTTAAAACACTTTGCTGACGCATACCCGCCTCCAACTGAGCCTATCCCCAAACTTATTTTTACTTGGTTAGACTTTTGATTGGTCTTTTGTCTTTTCCTCCTTATTTCCACGATGGTTACTCAACAGGCAGACAAGTGCGCCCATGTGATGTAAAAAAACTGCAGCACGACGTTGACGCCGATTGAATAATCATGTGTAGCTTTTCCCTCTGCACCCATACACGCACACACCGCACCCCCTATCTGAACTCAAGTGAAACTCCTTATTTCACACCCACCCTCTATGGCCCACTCACAGAAACATCATACCGCATCCAACACACGCAGCAACCCCAAAACCAATGACTTAAAACACAAACCTGCGAACGTGTACAGAACTGATCCTATAATAAAAAAGATATTTCCTACCTTCATTCGTATTAAACTCCACTTTATGCAGCATAAAATGGAGGAAATATGCGACACTAAAGCAGCTAGAGAACGGGGTCTCACGGGTAAATGAGCGTAAATAAGATTGTCTAATTTTTGCGAATATTCCCATGGCTAATTTGAGAAGTCAGTTTGGCAAACATGTGTTTTCAGCAAATCTTCATCAGGCCAAAACATTTGCAGGAGTAATGAAAACTGTACAGTTGGACACGGTTAGTAAGGGTAGCCTGATTACAATTCATCGTTTAAATGCCGCCCGCATGGAGAGGTGGGCGTGTAGGGGTTCCTGTTTTGGGGGGAGGGGAGGGAATTGGGTTAGTTTGTGGGCGTTAATCAGAGGTCAGATACATGGAGTGATAATTGCTGCTAGTTGCACGAAGCGAACGACTGTCACTAGGGCGTGGGGACGAAATGCGATCACCACCTAGCGTCGGGGTCGGCCACGGAACACTCGCCGATTGCTATTGGAATTCACTCGTCTACATTTGTTTGGGGCTCACTCTCAAGCTCCACCAGCAGCCACGCAGCTGCTAGGCAGATAAGCATTGTCGAAATAAATACCAAAGATGGGAACGGCTGTTTCTAAAATATTAGCCGTTATCAGCCATTCATACTAGACCGCGCACATACTAGACCAAACGGGAACCGATTAGGAACATCCAGCAGTTCAGAATAAAATATTTTTGAGCACTGTCAAATATTCCCGCTTCCAGAAGAGTGGCTGCGCATATAGTAAATACAGTTCTTTAGGAAAAGTAGCAGAGCATTCTTTGTAGTTTCTGAGTTTTCTTTAGAAGAACTTGCCTTTTATTAAGACCTAACGGAGCGTTGGCATAACATCATTTCCAGTCAATCAGCTGACGCATTCATTTGCGTATGGTGTGACATCCAATAGTGTCATCAAAATGGGAAGAACAACAACCATTACTTCTACAGGCAGCACCAGGTAGTTTAGATTTCCATAAGCTTGCTACTCGAGGCGTGTTAATCTTGTTCTATTAAAATACTAAGTGATATGACGACACGCAATTGAACCAACTGGGTTTGGGCTATTAACCGTCAGTTTAAGAAAATACCACTTGATGAAAGAGCACATAAAGGATGGAGGTTGTTTTATCTGCGAGGAATTGAATAGATTAAAAGTGCTCCGCCTTATTTCGTCCACAATGTGGCATAATTATTGCCTACCCACACACACCTCATGAAATTTTGCCGAAGTGCGCTAGTCGCGTCTTTTGCAGGTACGAATTAATCTCTGCCACTGTGTTGAGAGTTTACCAACTCCACCGATCATTTCAGCTCTAGACTTTACTTACGCTAACGGGATCAGGTGACGAGCTGTCGAAGTAGATATTGTTTGGCTGATTAAATGTGCCACGCCCAGCAATAAAACGTGGTGGAAGGTCTGAGCGAGATAATAAGATTAGACAAACTAGCTGCGCAAATGTGCGTTACGAAGTATTTTAGACATGTCCGCAAGTTTCCTTACTTAAGAACTTGCATTTTAAGTACATACTAAAATAAGGGGCTCCTTCTGATGAAAAAAAATAAAGGCAAGACAAAGACCCGTAGATAGAAGGCAATATAAAGAACTTTTTCTACGCAGTCTGTTACCTTGTGTGTGCTCCCAGCTCAAACGGGAGGTAAGATTTTATTGGTTTAAGTGAAGTAGAAGCGAATATGCGAGTTTCAGAAAGCAGTTCGGAAGAAGAAGATGCGATCACTGGAACAAGAATTTTATTTCCCTGACGTCA